ATCAAGACCAGTCTCCGAGTATTGCACACAGCCCCATTGTATACCCGGAACCATTCCATGTACCTGACATCAATCTTAAAGCTCTACTCTCTCAGTTAAACTAGGCTAAGTATTTTTGCTAGATGAATAAAGTATGACTAAGAAGGTTTTGCTTGTTTGTGAGTAGTATTTTTGCTTGGGGTGGTAAATTTCAGCACAGTTTTGCAAAGATGCTATACAAAGTTTTGCAGATACCCAGTTAACACAGAGAAAGGCACATTAGCAATGAAGGGCCAAAGCAAGACCAACAGACACATTGCCAATTCTTAGGGGTTTTTAAAATAAGTTTCTATAATTTTTGCCAATTTCAGTTCATGTAGGCGTGATTCTGTTTTGGCAAATGCTTGTAAAAACTGAATCACACATTCCTATAGTTGTCTCTCAATATCATATTTGCTTAGATTAGCAGTATAACAACAGATTTTTGCTTTAGCTCACAACCCTTCCATTTAACCTGGACTTTGACGGTCACACTGCACTCTATCTAGTTCATGGAACACCAGCATTAAGAAACGTTCTGAAAGCCAAAATCTGCTCGTTTACATCCTCATGCAAATCCAGTATAGTCTCTAGGGAAAATTCTACTCTATATTGGCGTGACTATGATATAAATCCATTCTTTGAAATCTTCTGAAAATGTGTGGTTTTTTTTTAAAATTACATTTTGCACTGGGATAATGAATAATTTTGGGGCTAGTTCTGATCCTTTCACATGGTGCAAGCTCCCATTCACTTCAGTGGATTTTCTGCCTGAATAAAGACCCTGAATAGACCTTGAGGCTATGTCTACACTTCAGGCTTTTTGCACAAGAATAGCTGTTCTTGCACAAAAACTTGCAGAGCATCTACACTGCACACGCATTTTTGCGCAAGGAAATTTACAGGAAAGCATCAGAAAAGAGGGCTTCTTGCACAAGAGTTATTCCTCTCCCCACGAGGAATAAGCCCTTTTGCGCAAGAACTCTTCCACAAGAAGGCAGTGTGGACAGGCAACAGGGATTTCTTGCACAAGAAACCCCAATGGCTAAAATGGCCATCAGCGCTTTCTTGCACAAGAAAGCATCCACACTGCCATGGGTGCTCTTGCGCAAAAGCACATGGCAGTGTGGACACGCTTTTGCGCAAGACCTTTTGTGCAAGAACTCTTGTACAAGAACAAAAGACCAGCTTGGCTTAACAAGGAGATCTTGCATGATCTCAAAATAAAAAAGGAGTCATATAAAAAATGGAAACTAGGACAAATAACAAAGGATGAATATAGGCAAGCAACACAGGAATGCAGGGGCAAGATTAGAAAGGCAAAGGCACAAAATGAGATCAAACTAGCTACAGGCATAAAGGGAAACAAGAAGACCTTTTATAAATACATTAAAAGCAAGAGGAAGACCAAGGACAGGGTAGGCCCACTGCTTAGCGAGGAGGGAGAAGCAGTAACAGGGAACTTGGAAATGGCGGAGATGCTCAATGACTTCTTTGTTTCAGTCTGCACCGAGAAGTCTGATGAAGAAATGCCGAACAGTGAATGCTAGTGGGAAGGGGGTAGGTTTAGAAGATAAAATAAAAAAATAAGTTAAAAATCACCTAGAAAAGTTAGATGTCTGCAAGTCACCAGGTCCTGATTAAATGCATCCTAGAATACTCCAGGAGCTGATAGAGGTGGTATCTGAGCCTTTAGGAAGATAATGGAGCAGGTAATTAAGGAAATCATATGCAAACACTTGGAAGGTAATAAAGTGATAGGGAATAGCCAGCATGGGTTTGTGAAGAACAAGTCATGCCAAACTAATCTGATAGCTTTCTTTGATAGGATAACGAGCCTTGTGGATAAGGGAGAAGCGGTGGATGTCATATACCTAGACTTTAGTAAGGCATTTGATACGGTCTCGCATGATATTCTTATTGATAAACTAGGCAAATATAACTTAGATAGGGCCACGATAAGGTGGGTGCATAATTGGCTGGATAACCGTAGTCAGAGAGTTGTTGTTAACGGTTCTAAATCCTGCTGGAAAGGGATAACAAGTGGAGTTCCTCAAGGGTCTGTTTTGGGACCCGTACTGTTCAATATCTTCATCAATGATGTAGATATTGGGATAGAGAGTACTCTTATTAAGTTTGCAGATGATACCAAACTGGGTGGGGTTGCAACTTCTTTGGAGGATAGGGACATAATTCAAAATGACCTTAGCAAGTTAGAGAAATGGTCAGAGGTAAACAGGATGAGGTTTAATAAGGAGAAATGCAGAGTGCTCCACTTAGGAAGGAACAATCAGTTCCATACATACAAGATGGGAAGCGACTGTCTAGGAAGGAGCATGGCGGAAAGGGATCTAGGGGTCATAGTGGACCACAAGTTGAATATGAGTCAACAGTGTGATGCTGTTGCAAAAAAAGCAAATATGATTCTAGGTTGTATCAACAGGTGTGTTGTAAGCAAAACTCGTGAAGTCATTCTGCCGCTCTATTCTGCACTAGTTAGGCCTCAGCTGGAGTACTGTGTCCAGTTCTGGGCGCCACATTTCAAGCAAGATGTGGAGAAATTGGAAAGGGTACAGAGAAGCGTGACAAGAATGATTAAAGGTCTAGAGAACATGACCTATGAAGCCAGGCTTCATGAACTGGGCTTGTTTAGTTTGGAAAAAAGAAGATTAAGGGGGGACATGATAGCGGTTTTCAAATATCTAAAAGGGTGTCACAAGGAGGAAGGAGAAAATTTGTTTCTCTTGGTTTCTGAGGACAGGACAAGGAGTAATGGGCTTAAAGTGAAGCAGGGGAGATTTCGATTGGACATTAGGAAAAAATTCCTAACTGTCAGGGTGGTCAAATATTGGAATAAATTGCCAAGGGAGGTGGTGGAATCTCCCTCTCTGGAGATATTTAAGAACAGGTTAGATAGACATCTGTCAGGGATGGTGTAGACGGAGCTTGGTCCTGCCTTGAGGGCGGGGGGCTGGACTCGATGACCTCTCAAGGTCCCTTCCAGTCCTATTATTCTATGATTCTATGATTCTAAGCCTGCAGTGTAGAAGTAGCCTCTCCTGAGAGTGGTCACTGCTGCTGTTGCTATTCTATATTGCTAACAGGATGGCAGTGTTTGCCTATTAGGAGATGATGATATGTCTGGAAACTGTTTAACTGATTTGCTGACTCACTGGTGTAGCTGGCTCATCCCACCTGGTTATAAGAGACTTGGGGAAAAGGAAGGCTGGAAGCTGGGTTCTGAGGGGAGGAATGAAGAAGCAGCTACACTGTAGTATGGAATTTTAGTTTACTAGTTAGTAGTAGTTTGAGACTGATCCTCCTAATAATAAATCAGACCTTAAGAGAGGTAACTTTCTTTTCACTATTGTGTCTACATTACAGTTAGTATCCAGTGGATGGCCCATGTTGGCTGTCTTGGTCTGTTTGTAAGATAGACATTTGGGCTTGAACTGCAGCAAAGAGTCTAGGACTCTGAAGGGTGTGAGGGTCCCAGAGCTCAGGCTGTGGTCTGAGCCCCAATGTCCACAGTGCAATTAAGTAGCCCTGCAGTCTGAGCCAGCTGGTATGGGTCAGCCACGAGTGTGCCTAATTGCAGTGTAGACCTATCCCATATGTCTAGGTTTGTTGCAGTGAGATGGGAGGGGGTCCCATACATGATCACAGTAACATATTTTTAAACCAGACTTTGCACTTTCTGTAGACCTCTGGGCTACGTCTACACTGGCATCCCTTCTGGAAAAGGGATGCTAATGTAGCACATCGCAATTGCAAATTCCGCGGGGGATTTAAATATCCCCCGCGGCATTTGCAGTTACATGGCTGCCGCTTTTTTCTGGCTTAGAGATAAGCCGGAGAAAAGTGCCAGTCTAGACGTGATTCTCCGGAAAATAAGCCCTTTTCCGGAGGATCTCTTATTCCTTCTTAAAGTAGGGGTCTGTTTTGGGAATAAGACCTTCAAAGTAGGAATAAGAGATCCTCCGGAAAAGGGCTTATTTTCCGGAGAATCACGTCTAGACTGGCGCTTTTCTCCGGCTTATCTCTAAGCCAGAAAAAAGCGGCAGCCATGTAACTGCAAATGCCGCGGGGGATATTTAAATCCCCCGCGGATTTGCCTATTCCAAAGTGTCTAATCTGCATCCCTTTTCCAGAAAAGGGGTGCAGTGTAGACACAGCCCTGATGTGCTGTACAAACAATGAAATACCCCTATGAGGTTGGCATAGATTGTGAGTGCAATGGTGAACATTCCAAGCCATCTCTGCTCTGCTAGGGAAGCAGAACCACTAATTGGACTGGTGGCTAAGACCGTCTCAGTAGAGGAGTGGATTCAGGCACCCAAAAATTCACTCATGGGCCAGAATTCAGATCTGTCTCTCTTAAGGGGGGAAGTAACAGCTGTGGTCATCCCCTTGCCTAATTTCACACTGGGATATATTTCAGCACTGACTCCCATTCACACAATATTGCCAATCCCAGATTTTCAAAAAACATGAATTAGCTCCCTGTTCACTTATGCGCCTTTTTAAAAACACATTAAATGTTTTAAAAGTGGGGGTTAAGTTTATTTTCCTTACTGAATTTTAAATATTTAGGTTACAGTCAGTTCATATTTCCAGGCCTTTCTCTGCAATAGTGAGGGTTAGAGATTTACAACTATTTTAAAGAGGGAAGGTCATCTCTGTGTAAGCTCAATAGCTTCTCTCTCGCCCCCTATAGAAGTTGGTCTAATAAAAGATGTTACCTTATTCACCTTGTCTCTCTAATATCCTGGTCCAACATGGCTACAACAACTCTGCACACAATGCTTATTTTTTAAGTCAAACCTTTTTATTTCCAGGACTTGGGGCTTTAAGAAAAAGGGTAAAGACCATGAGATATGTGACACAGTAACAAGTGTATGCAACACTGCGTTTATTTTAAATTGTAAATAACTCTGCATTTTACAAACTATTATTCCTCTTTTTTCTATTTTCTTTTACAGTTAATTTTGACCATTTTCAAATACTGCGAGCTATTGGGAAAGGGAGTTTTGGAAAGGTAAGAATCAACTCTTTTTAGTGATAAAATTCAACAACAGATTTCTATATATTAATATGATGTGCTCATTCACTCTGAGTAGACGAACAGAGTTGTTACACAAGCATGCCCCTCCTGTTCACTGGCCCAGCTCATCAGCCCCTCCTCTCAGCATGCAGTCTGTGTGCTGCTTCTAGCACAGTCCCTGCTGGGGGCAGAGGGCAAATCCTGGCAGGAACCAGGAAGTTCTCCCAACATGCTGCAGTTTGTAGTCCACAAATTGTAGTTCCCAGGGCTGCTGCTGAAACACACTGGACCTTGGGCTACACCCTTCCCCCACTTACTGAAAGGGCAACCTCGTCCCTTTCCTTGATCAAAAACCCCTCAGCACATCCCACAGCAGCTCTGACCAATACCCCCAGTCTCTACTCTTCTTTCATCAGGCGGCCCTCTGTTCCAAATTGAGATGGACAGGTGCCCTGTGCTGTCTTGTTGAGCGCCGTGGAGCTGGTGGGTCCTCTCTAGGCACTTCTTCGGCCAGGTCTCACTCAGTCTGCCCTCCTCTGATCCAATTCGGTTCATTCAGAGTTTGGTCAGCCTCTTTTGTTACCCCCATGGTCTGGTTGGGCTCCTCCAGGTCAGAGTACTGCAAGTCTGAGTCAAAATGGTCTGGATCTGGAGACTCACTGCAGTGTAACTCTGGCTCCCCGGTGTGGATATGTCTAGACTACATGGCTCCATCGACGTGAGGCATAAGGGATCGGTTGGCAAAGGCTTCCCCATCTGACAGATCCGCATCTAGACTGCCGCACTGTGCCAGATCAGCTGATCGTCGGTACAGCGCGGCAGCCATGTTTATTTTAATGAAGCAGGGATTATTTAAATCCCTGCTTCTTTGCCTATGCTGGGTAAACTAGTTTACAGGGCTCTGTCGACGGACCCATGTAGTCTAGACATACCCTGTATGTCATCCCCCTATGGGTTTTCTTTCCTCTACAGCCCCCTGGCCTACCTATAGGGCCTCCAGTAAGTTCTATTCCTGCCCCTGCCTCCAATGGGAGGCTACCCTCAAGTTCTGGCATGGCTCCCTGCTTGTCTATTTCCCTGCCAGCTGGTTGACTGACTCCAACGATAGGTAGAAACATGCATGGCATAATTCGGTTACAGTGTATCACCCGTTTCCGCACTCCTGATTCTGGCTGCACTACATAAACAGGCAAGTCCCCTTGTCTCCTAATCACAATATAGGGAGTTGGTTCCCATCTGTCTCCCAGTTTCTATCTCTCTTTCTTTTCCCTGGCTACTAGCACTCTGTCTCCAGGAATCAATGGGGCTTCTTGTGTCTGGCGGTCATAGTGCTTTTTCAGGTGACATTTGGCAGCTTCAGATGCCTGTGCAGCCTGATGGTATGCTGTCTCTAGGCATTCTCTGAGCTGGGAGTCATACTCCTTCACCTCTAACCCCTCATTTCCTTGGTGGGGAAGACCCAGAGCTAGATCTATCTTCAGCTTTGGGTGCCGGCCAAACATTAAGAAGAATGGGAAAAATCCAGTGGACTCATGATGAGTGCAGTTGTAGGCATGAGTCATGAACTCAAAATAGTCCTTCCAATTTTCCTTTTGCTCTGGACACATGGGGGTGATAGGGCGTGGTTCTGCTTTTTGAGATCTCAACAGTTTCCAAAGCTGGACAAGGAGATTACTTTCAAAATTCCTCCCCTGGTTTGTTTGTATCCCTTCAGGGATGCCATAATTGCAGATGAACTGTTTCCACATCACCTTGGCCACGGTAGACGCTCATTGGTCACGAGTAGGGTACGCCTGAGCATAGCGACTGAAGTGGTCAGTAACTACAAGGACATTCTCAATGCGCTCCCGGGATGGTTCCAGGGTGAGAAAGTCAATACATACTAGCTCCAGGGCCTACTGGTATTGATCGAGATAAGTGGAGCTCTGCTTCCAAAGATGCCTCTCTTCTTAGGCAGCACCTTTTGCAGGAAAGGCACCACTCCTGGATGGTGGACTGCATGCCTTGCCCAAAACAGCGAGTGCAGATGAAGTCCACTGTATGGTCAATGACCATGTGTCCCATGTCTGTGTGCAGAACTTCGAACACTTCTCTCTGGAGTTTCTCTGGTAGCACAACTTGTTGGATATGTCCCTCTCCTGGGATTGTTGTTCTCCTATAAAGGATCCCTTCTACCAGCTACAATCATTTCCATTGGTTCAGTAATATCTTCACTGGTGTTACTTCCTTCCGCCTCTCCCGGGCTCTGGGTATCCGCTGTCTGGGCACGTAGGATCTTACTGGAGAGATTACAGCATCCTTTTCCTGCAGCCTCCTCAGTTTTCCCTTAGGCAGGCCTGGGTTTAACTCTATGCGTGGCCAATGGAGTGGCTCAGCTCTGTCTGTAGCTCTCCCTTGGGCATCACCCGGGTTGCTATGGAGGACACATTGCATCTGGCATTCAGAACAGTAGCCACCTCCTCCCAGGGTAGCCGAGACAGGCCATCAGCATTGGCATTACTTCTCCCAGGCCAGTACTTTATGTTGAAGTTGAACTCTGCCAGCTTTGCCATCCACCTTTGATTAGTTGCATCCAACCTATCAGTAGTAGTAACATAGGTCAGTGGATTGTTGTCAGTTAGCACTGTGAAATGGTATCCTAGAAGATAGTCTCTAAATTTATCTGTAGCTATCCATTTTAATGCCAAAAAATCCAATTTATGGGCAGGATAATTTTTTTCTGGGGCAGTTAAGCGCCTGCTGGCATAAGCTATGACCCTCTCCTTTCCTAACTGAACCTGTACCAGTACAGCTCCTAGCCCCTCTGTAGATGCATCTGTCTGGAGAATGAATGGTAAGCTGTAGTCAGCATAACCTAATATTGGTGCAGTTGTCAGCTGTCAGCTTTGTTTTCAGCTCTGTAAAAGCCTGGCCACATTTCTCTGTCCAAACAAAACTGGGTTTCTTAGTAGGACCCCTCTCATTTCTCCTTCTAGTATGGGTGCACCCTCCAGTTAGTCTGAATAATGGGGCTGCCAATTTGGAGTAGCCTTTGATGTATCGTCTGTAGTAGCCAGTGAACCCAAGAAACTGTAACACTTTCTTCCTTTTAGCTGGGATCCTCCAGTCTCTCACCTGCTGAATCTTATCTGGATCTGTTGCAATGCCTTGGGCAGATACTATGTGCCTAAGATATTGTACCCTTTCTCATAGCAGATGACATTTCCTGGGCTTTAGCTTGAGCTTGTGTTGGCGGAGTCTGTCAAAAACCATCTCCAGGTGCTGCAGATGCTCCTCAAAAGTACTGGAGAACACTGACATCATCAAGATAAATCAATATTGCTGAGAAGTTTAGATCTTCAAAACATGTGTCATCAACCTCTGGAAGGTAGCTGGTGGGTTCTGTACACTGAAGGGCATCCGATTACATTCAAACAGCCCCATGGGGGTGATGAATGCAGTTTTGGGTTTATCTTCCTCTGCCATTTCTCCCTGCCAATACCCTGAAGTAAGATCTAGTGTAGAGTAATATCTGGCTCCTCCTAAGGCATCCAGAGCATCTTCCATACAGGGCAGAGGAAACGCATCCCGAGTGGCTTTAGAATTCAGCTGTCTGTAGTCAATGCACACTCTCATAGAGCCATCTTTCTTCCTTGCCACCACTACTGGTGAAGCATATGGGCTTTGACTTGGTCTAATTGTGCCCACCTCTGCCATACCCTGCAAGTGCTTGCAGACTTCCTGGTACTGTGCTGGAGGTATCCTCCGATAGGGTTGCCTCACAATAGTACTGTCGATCAGGGGTATTTCATGCTTGGAAGTACAGCCCAAGTCAAGATCATTTTTAGAGAATAATTCTGCATTCCACGTCAACAATTCTTCCAACATCTTCAGTTGAACTGGGTCCTGCACAGTTACCTGACTCAGGTCTACTTCTGGCACTCAGGCATGGACCTGTGCCTCTTCTCTCAGTGCTTGCCCTGGAGAGTATTTTAAGCTGCTGCTCACGCTAGCCATGCTGTAGACAACTGAAACTGTAGCTAGATGTTGGTTCCTTCCTATTATTGCTGTTGTTTGTCCTACATTATGTAGATAAACATAAGCCTTCCCATGTTCAACATATGCTATACCTTCCTCCACACTCAAATTCCCTGGCAGGTGACTCTTAGCATCAGGTTCTACCAGAACAGTATATGGCTCCCATCCTGTACCCCAAGGAGCCTTCATCGGTACAGTTTTTCCTTCTCTAGCTCTCAACAAGATGGGCTGCTCGCCAGTGTATCTCAAGGATGGTCTCTCTTAGCCAGAGATTACTTACTTATAGGCTGCAGGCCAGGCAGGTGACTTCTCTTTCAGGAAGTCTGGGAATTGGTTGCCCAATTGGTTAGCTAAATCCTGCCAGCTGGAATGTATGACAACAACACAGGGACTCCCTGTCTGTACTTTGTTCCACGCACCAGAAGGGCAGAAACTCACTTGTAGGTTTGACCAATAAAAAGATAAATCTAATTTATAGCTACTTGATGGGAGACTGCCTGGCCACGGCACCATCTATCAAGAGATCTACAGGAATGGGATGTAACTTGCCCAGGATAGGGTGATTTCTCCAGAAATCCTCTGTGATGGTTGTAACCTGTGACCCTGAATCAATTAGAGCCTTGCACAGGATACCATTCACTTCCACAATTTCCTTGGTCAAGGGTTCCACTAGCTAGGATGCCAGCTGGCAGCTGATTGAGTACGCTGAGACGATGTGCACACCGATGCTATTGGGAGACTTCTCACCAACTCTACGCCCTTCACTTGCCCCTCAGTGTCAGGCATTAGCAGTTTAAAGAAGAGGGAGCCTCACCTTGCCCTGGCCCCATGAGGTGAGTCTGAGGGAGTTGATAGCAGTCAAGAACTATGTGGCCTTCTTGTCCACAATGGTGGCATATGAAATGGCCTCTGATGCCGTGGTCAGGGGTACTTCCACCACTTCCCCATCTAGAATTTTGAGGTGCCGTCCTCACTAC